CTGTGTATCCCCGCAGACCCTTGGACACTATTGTGACCTCTTGTCAATGGTCTCGCTCATCCAGATGGTATGTCTTGTCCCTTGTCCCCTTCAAGACTTAACACGTGTCCTTTAAAAGAGGGGGAGAAAAAGTAGGCGAGAAGAGTCCTTCCAGCATTTCCAAAAGAACTTACAACACAAAACCTTGCACATGAGTGTTCGTCATAAGCAAAAGGTGGAAACAATGCAAATATCCATCAACTGAAGAGTGGATAAACGTGGTGTATTATATTAGAAAAGGAATTAAGTGTTCATATATGTACTACTTCAACATTGACGGACCTTGAACCATTTTTTTTTTAACCATTTTTATAAAGTGAAAAAGACCAGTCTTAAAAGCCACATATTGCACACTTCCACTTACATGAAATAACTGAAATATGCAAACTAGTAGAGACATAGATTACTGGCTTCCTAGAACTGAGGAAATTAAGACTTGAGCTCTAAAAGTTAACATAACAATGTAGTGATGTATAATTATGAATATCTTTTTAAAAAAACCACTGTATTGAAGGGGTGGGGGAGAAAGACTTTCAGGATCAAAAGATTCCTAACCAAGAAATAAAAGCAGATTTGCCCCATTTTCCAATGATTTGAATGAAAATTGGTAATAAGCTCAGGTTCAACTCCAAGAGAAGACATTGGAGAAGAAGCACACTGGGCCTGGAAGCCACAGGAATGATGACATGTATGCACACACGCAACGTTTACTTAGGCTCCCTGACATTCTTTCCTGCTGAGTTTAAAACTCACCGCCGCCTGAAACATCTGGTTTCTCCCCGAGTTTTTATACTTCCAAATGAAGATGCTGACAGCTAATGAATAGGGGAGGCCTTTGGTTTGAGGGGGGCAAAGAAAAGCTCGCCAGACCCCCTTGGAAACTGCACAGAGCAGGTTCTTCTCTGCCCCATAGGGTCACCTAGGAGAGTCCTTATTGAAAAGAAAGGCATCAATCCCCGCCTCACCCTTGGTCGGAACCCTTAATATAAAAATAGGCAGGAAGCAATACTGTGCCCAGGTGTTTGCTCTTACCAGTCACTTGGCTCAGTGACAGCCTCCTCAGTTTTTCCCCCCTTGGGCGGCGAGTCTCTGCCACCCCCCCACCCCCCCAGGGCTCTGTAGAAGACTCCCCAAAGAGCTAGGCTTCTTGTGTGAGGCAGCCAGTGATGAGACCACCCCTGAAGGGCTGCTGTTTGCCCAGACTCCTGGTGTGGGGGGTAAGGGTGGGTGAGGGCCCCCCTCCATTGGTGTACATACTCCCTGTCCCGAGGGGGACCCCTCAGGGAAAACCCTATGAGGGATTATTAAAGTATGCCAAGCCCATCTTTGCTTCCTTAGGGCCAGTTAGTTAACACGTGGAACTGTCTGAAGTCCTGCACCGACCTTTGAAAACTTCCTTGACAGTGCAGCCAGGTGTCTGCTGGCTGCTGGCAGTGAGTGGGCCTCCGCTGACTTCAGAGACAGCCAGGTGGGCTCTGGTTTCAGCTCACAGGTCCTGTGTCATTAGTGAGTGACGCGACGGGCAGGAAAGACACTCAGTTTTATGAGGATAAAAACGTGCCTGACCCACAGGCAGTGGACAGATGCAGTGCCTGCTCTCGTCTAGTGTTTCACATCTGGAAGAGAAGTTCGTTAGACCTCAGTATAAAAAGGAAAAGGGGCTGTGAGTGGGCCCCAACCCACAGAGATCTTCCGTGGAGCTGAAGGAACGGGCGCCTGGCCCTGCACCGTTTCTGCAGCTGTTGCAGGCCTTGTTGTGGCTGTTGTGTCTGTCCGTAAGCCTGGTGTGTTGGTTCTTCTCTCAGTTCATGGGCTGCGCAGCCTTCTTCACCACCACTGCAGTTGGAACCCTCAATTCTTGTCTTCAGTTTTTGCAGCCATTGAACAGTCCACGGCTCCGGGCAGCTGCACCTTAAATAAGCTGTTCATAAAGACAGGGACTTTGATTGGAGTTTTAGGGATCATTTTTGCTGTCTGGTTTTTAACTGCTCCCAGCCAGACCACCTAATTACCTGTGTAAGTAGGGCCCAGGGGGAAAGCACCAAACAACTATTTGGATGTCGTCAAGGCAGAGGACATGCCTGCTCTTCAGACCCACTGCTCCAGGGTGTATGTATGCAGGGGCTTACCTCTGGAGACAGAAGAGAAGTAGTAGGGCAGACACGACTGAAGCAGACAATTCTCAAGGCGCTGGGCTGGTTGGAGAACAAACCACTTTGGCCACTTTCTATGAGTGACATTATAAAAAAAAGACATTTTCTTTTAAGGTAACATCTTCGACTCATTTTCTCTGTCTAAAGCAATACCAGTATTTCATCAGCACCAGAAGTTAGACTAAACCTAATTCATTTATTGTTTGTCTAAGAAAATATTCCCTGGCAAAACAGGGAGGGTGGAGGGAGAGTGGGTAGGAAGGAGGGAACCGATTACAAGGGACTATATGTGACCTCCTCCCTGGGGGCCAGACAACAGAGGGGAGGCGTTGGACAGGGCGAGATATGACAAAATAACAATTTATAAACTATCAAGGGCTCATGAGGGAGGGGGGAGCGGGGAGGGAGGGGAAAAATGAGGACCTAATGCCGGGGGTTTAAGTGGAGAGAAAATGTTTTGAGAATGAAGTACAAATGTGCTTTACACACACACACACACACACACACACACACACACACACACACACGAAAATGATGATGGCAACAAATGTACAAATGTGCTTGACACATAGATGGATGGATGGATGGATGGATTGTGATAAGAGCTTTATGAGCTGCTAATAAAATGATTAAAAAAGAAAATATTCCCAACTTTGCACAGATGATGAACTTGTGTGTGTGGAAGTAGAGGGTTGCCTGCCTATAGGGTCTTTGTAAAGAAGGCAACATTCATTTTAAGCCAGGAGCTTCCATGGGTTCACTGGAGATGGAAGCAGATGTTAAGCAAACAAGGACTCACTGCCATCTCATAGCAACCCTTTAGGGCAGAGCAGAAAGCCCTCTCATTATCCCAAGGAGTGGCTCGTGGTTTTGAACTGCTAACCTTATAGTTAGTGGCCCAACATGTAACCACTGTCACCAGGGCTCCTCTGTCCTAATGATAATGGGTTTTAAAGCATAACTAGAGTGCACAGCTTTTCTTCATAGCAGCCATTGTCTCAAAGATGATAAGTAAGATTGATTTAAATGTGGACACTTTGGGAACAAATGACAGCTTATAGTTTTATGGGCCACTGTATCTTGCATGTGAGATTTTGGGTGGGAATTCTACCCCTTTGAGCTTCATTCTTGCATATGTATAAAATAATTAGAATAGTATAAGGTGTGGGATCCAGCCCCACATCCGTATGGATCCTAAGGGACAGTTGTGTAACTGAAGGGAAGAAATTAAGAGATAAAAGTTTTGGGGTGCTCACTTACATGCTATCAGGAACCAGGTCCACAAGAGAGGGAGAGAATGTATTCTTACACCATCTTATGTAGTCTTGGGCATGCAAGCTCCCCTAATTACAGGTAACCATATATGTAATAAACTGGGAGGCCCCCCAGTTCATTGGAGGAGTAACCTAACACCAGTGCTGGGGACAGACAAGTGGGAGTGACTGTTCCCTGAGCAGCAAGAGCATTAGCAGCCTGTCTGCTCCTATAGATAAAACTGCCGGCTAGATAGCAATCAGCCGTGTGCTTATAAGAGGTAACTTTAAAGTAACACTATGTTGTGTGTGTGTGTGTGAGTGTGAGATATTGTGGGGATTAATCTTAATTATGAGAATGTGATTGGGACTCATCTAACTTACAAGTGTGAAGGTCTCCTTCCACCCAGAACTCCTGGCCTCCAGGCTTCTTAAATAGAAGAATAAAGAATTTGTCTTCATATACTTTCTTCCCAGGCCTCAGTTTCCCACAATAAGGAGGAAAACAATGATTCCTACTTCCAGTGTTAATGCTGCTGTACTTCTTTCTGGATATTATTTTTGTACAAAATAGAGGGAAATTGTGTGTGTGTGTATATATATATATTTTTTTTCTTGTCATCAAGTGCATTCCAATTCATAGCGACCTTATATAACAGCAGAATTACCGTTGTGCGTTTCTGAGATAGTGGGTCATTATGGGAGTAGAAAGCCTCATCTTTTTCCTGCAGAGCTGCTGGTGGTTTTGAACTGCTGACCTTGTGGTTAGCAGCCCAACTCATCCATCTTGTTAAATGTATCCTCAAGATTTGCCCATGTTCCCAAACAGTCATCATAAGCATGGCATGCGATGTACTAAGGTGTATTGAACTAACCATCTCCTGTCCTGTCCTATTTTTGACTTTGTGAATTGTGTAGGTTGTCCTCCCCAGGGATAAATATCTTTAAAATGTGTGTGCTTTTAAAATATTTTGTCAGATGCATTCTGGAAGTAGAGTTATTTGTTAATGGGATGAACAGTTCCACAGAAACCGAGTGGTAGGCCCACATAGGGGGTAGGGGGGAGAAGAGGGATTAAAAGTCCCATCCGGGAGCAATCTCCCCAGGGAAAGGACTATAATGTGTTCTTAGCACACACCAGGAAGTACAGAGCTCCTAGAATCTGGCTCACAGGTGGTAATTAGTAATGCAGGTTACTCATTTTTTATTTAAGAAGAAAATTGAGTTCTGGACCCGAGAAGACAGCTGTATGGCAAGTCTTCCATATCTCCACCCCGCTGTGCCCCGCCATGGTTCAGAGCCTACACGCACAGCCCAGACCTGGGGAGGATGGTTTGCTTCCCCTGAGAGAGTCAGTCAGATTCCTTAGATTTTGACTGAGGCTGTAGCACTGGGCTACATGCACAGAGATGAATAAAACAATTCCTTCCCCCAAGATTATGCACTTACATCTTCGAGAAAGAAGCTGTTCTACAAAGACATAATTCTTAATAGAATATGAAATGAGGCTTAACAGTTATTTTCCTTTATAAATGCAGGAACCATTTTAGTTGAGATGGGGAAAGAGATTATTAAGGTAAGATTAGAAATACATAGACTTTACTGTGTTTCTTAATTTTTTCTCTTTAGCCATAAAATTAGACAGCCAGGCAGCAAGTTTAAGATTCTCCCAATAGGAGGGTAAAGGGAGAATGGGTAGGAAAGAGGGAACCGATTACAAAGAACTATATGTGACCTCCTCCCTGGGGGACAGACAACCGAAAAGTGGGTGAAGGGAGATGTCGGACAGGGCAAGATATGACAAAATACCAATTTATAAACTATGAAGGGCTCATGAGCGAGGGGGGAGCAGGGAGGGAGGGGGAAAAATGAGGACCTAATGTCGGGGGTTTAAGTGGAGAGAAAATGTTTTGAGAATGATGTACAAATGTGCTTTACACAATTGATGTGTGTATGGATTGCGATAACAGTTGTATGAGGCCCTAATAAAATGTTTAAAAAAAAAAAAGAGTGGGGGGAAAAAAAAAAGATTCTCCCAATAGGTATACTGAATTTATCTTGTTTCTAAAAATGCACATCAGGTTTTACGTAATAGTTTTATTATTGCATCTTTTCTTTAGTTCTTTCATCTTAAAAACAAACAAACAAACAAAACAAAACAACAACTGTTCTTCAGTAGAAGACAGCCTTAAAGGAGCCTCTCACCTATACTATTCTGGAAATCCCCATTATTTTGGGGTTTGTGTGACTGTAAAGGGGTGGCCTGTTTTAGCTCTTTGCCATTGTAGGGAGACACAGGATTTCACACACATACTAGAGTACTCTGTGTGGGGTTAAAAAATATGCTTGAGTTTTAAAGAAAAACATAGTTTTTAAAATGTCACTCCTCTACCTCCTAATGAACCCTTATGTCTGTTAGCAGGCTTTACTACGATTAGGCTGCAGTTGTTAGTAAACTTGTAAGAGATCTCTGTGATAACCTGAAAGGAGTCTCTCGTCTATTAGTTTGGTTAGAATTATTACTACTATCCTATAGACTCAGAGACAGCTTATATAAGAGTTGGTAAAGCTGAAGTTCAACTGGACTGAGTGAGGATGGCCATAGGGTCGTGTGGGCCTGTGAGACAAATGTTCACCCGTAAGGTGTCAAAACGAGGGGTCCCCACAGTAAGACATTCATGGAGGGTACTTGGCACGCCAGGCCATGCATGCCCTTTCAGGCGGCCTTCTGTACACTACCAGTTTTGACATAACAGATTTGTTTTGCATTTTATAACCTCATGGCCAAATCTGCAGTATTGCAAGTAGCTTTTTATACACTGTGATTGGTTAAGAACAGGGCTGATGGCAGGTTTATCATTTGAGACAAGAACAAGATCCACTCCACTGATCTTGAATCCACCCAGAGTATTCAAGGCTAGTGATGAGTCAGGAATGCAAATGTCTGGAGAGGCTTAATTCCTACTCAGTGCCTCCCCTGGGTGAGCTGCAAAAGGCCACCCGTGGTTACACATTTTCAGAGAGGCTGTGGGATGCGCTTACTTTATTATTTGTTGGTTAATAGCAGAGGATGCAAACATCCCATAGATTAGTCTGATCAAGCTATGAATTTTTAGACTAGATGAAAAGGTGAAACATTCCATCCCATACTTGTCTTGCACATTATAAATATATTACCATAATAACAATAGTTGTAATTTAGGCATGAAGGAAGGAACTAACTAGTGGTAACAGTGCCCTGAGCATAACTCAGCTAATGCTGCCGGGAAGACCTTCAATCGGCATACTTCCCCTGAAAATCATTTCCTCTTAAAGGGAAGGTTTCCGTGGCTGCCTCTGAAGCTCCATATTATCCTCTGTATGTTCCCAAAGCTTTGCTGGCATTGAAAGGACAAAATGTTATACCGGTCATTTTTCTACTACTAATGATTTTTTGAAGCATTATTTTCCAAACACGTAAGTGCTTCCCTTTCCCCCTCATGGTAACGATAAATTCAAGCCTTATGGGTATTTAGTAGTAAATAGACAGAATTTATTTTTAAAAAATATCTATTTAATATCTATTTAGGGTTAGATTTTATATAAACATTTACAAATATGGTTATTTGATTTTTTTAATAGTTAAAAAAAGTTGCCTTGAAGGTATGTTATGATGTAGTTGCCAATTGCTTGCTAGGTTAGTTACATGCCAGCATTGCAGTAATCTTTAGCTGTCATCTTGTTATGGACAAATGCTCACCAAGCATCTATTTTGTATCTTATTGTATTGTACACTGCCACAAACTTAAGGCAAGTGGCCGACGTATATTAGGTGCAGGTACCATTCCTTTAGACCACAAACATAAGAAAGTATCAATCTAACTTAATCTTTGCTTCCAATTTTACTACACTCTTTTTTGTATACGCAGGGCAGTCAAGATTATAAATTGGTTTTGAGTAAAGTTTTAAAATCCACGACCCATTGAAGAGATGGTTTCTGATTAGGCCACTGTCAGCAGTTTGAAGCCACCAGCCGCTCCTTGGGAGAAAGAAATTAGTCTTGGAAACCCCACCGGGCAGTTCTACCCTGTTCTATAGGGCCACTATGAGTTGGAACCAACTCGATAGCAGTGAGTTTGGGTTTGTAACTTTTTCTTTTCTTTTTTAAACATTATTTTATTGGGGATTCGTACAACTCTTAACACATTCCATCCATCCATCCATCCATCCATTGTGTCAAGCACATTTATACATTTGCTGCCATCATCATTCTCAAAACATTTTATTTCTGCTTGAGCCCTTGGTATCACCTTGGGTTTGTAACTTTTAAGGTATTACACATTGCCATAAAGAGAATGATCAGAATATTCTGATAAAAGCCTGTTTTCATTGGGGTGGGGGGGTGCTTCATTTGTGAGGTTCTCCAAGCTTACTGCTCACTGCTGCTCCCAAAGCCTGATCCATGGGAAGGGGTGCAGCTATGGGCCACGGCTCACAAGTCTCTCTCCTAGTGTGTTCCAGAGGGACCCAGCTGCAGGTTTGTCTGCAGTTGTTTGTACAGGAAGTCTGTGACCGCACCTCCTTCACATCTTACTTCCTCTCAGTTCTTTGCACTCCCTGCTCTTCCAGTGACTTTGTAGTTCAGGGTTCAGAGAGCTGCTGGAGTGGTGCCCCCTTGTGGTCATTTGATTTGGGATGTTTAGACAGAGGGTGAAAGAGCAAAGATCACGGAATTGAGAGGAGCATATAATCTAGTGGGATTTGCTAAATCTGATCACCAAGCCTTTTCTAAATATAACACAATAAAAACAATTGATATATTTCACTCCATAAACCCAGAAAATTCTTCAGGAAACATCATCTTAGAAAAAGCAGCTACTTGCAAAGACTGTCATGTGTGAAAGGGCCAATCTCCTTCATAAATAAAGAGCTTTTATGGAGCCACTAAGAAATAAAGGCCAATAATTTGGTAGAGATTTGGTGGGCAGGAGACATCAACAGACTGGATTTTGAGAAAGGAAAACAAGCCCTTCTCCATGAACGTTTTAAAGCCCCCTCTGTAAAAGATGAAGTGTCCTCTCACAAACTTGGGCACCTTATTGGGAAGGAGCAATCCTGGAGAAGGTCATGGAGCTTGGTAAAATGGAGCAACAGAGCCCCCAGAGAAGAAGCACACAAGCCTGTGTGAATACGAGATGTTGAAGGGATCAGGTAGCAGACACCAAAGAACAAAAACCATCATTGTGTGACCACCTTCCTTCCCCACATAAACGCTGAAGACGAACGTGTGCATTAAGTAAGTGTGGTGAAGAAGGCTGATGATGCCCGGCTATCGAGACCTATAGCGCCTGGGGACTTAAAGGCTTGAAAGTAAACAAGTGGCCATCTAGCCCAGAAGCAACAAAGCCCACATGGAAGCAGCACACCAACATGTATGATCATGAAGGGCCGAAGGGACCAGGCTTCGAGCACCAAAGGCGGGGGAGGAAAAAAGAAATCATATCGTGAATGAGGGTGGCGTGTGATGGGGACCCAATGCCCATCTGTAGACAACTGGACATCCCTTGCAGAGGGGTAGTGGGGAGGAGATGAGTCACTCAGGGTTGAGTGTAGCAACAGTGAAACTCACGACCTTCCTCTAGTTCTTAAACACTTCCTCCCCCCAACTATCATGATCCCAATTCTACCTTGCAAACCTGGTTAGACCAGAGGATGCACAGCAGTACAGATGGGAACTGGAAACACAGGGAATCTAGGACAGATGAACCCCTCAGGACCAGCGGTGAGAGTGGCGATACCGGGAGGGAAGGGGGTATATAAAGGGGGAATCGATCACAAGGAGCTACATATAACCTTCTCCCTGGGGGATGGGCAACAAAAAAGTGGGTGAAGGGAGACGCCGGGCAGTGTAGGTTAAGATAAAATAATAATTTATAAATGATAAAGGGTTCATGAGGGAGGGGGGAGCAGGGAGGGAGGGAGAGGGGAAAAAGGAAAATGAGGGGCTGATTCCAGGAACCCAAGCGGAAAGCGAATTTTGAGAATGATGAGGGCAACGAATGTATTAAGTGTGCTTTACACAATTGATGTATGTATGGATTGTGATAAGAGTTGTATGAGCCCCAATAAAAGGATTAAAAAAACTAAAGAACAACGACAAAAAAAATGGAAAGGCAGTGACAAAGAAGCACCCCACCACGAGATAGGTGGGCCCAGTGGCTGCACAAATGAGCCGAAACAACCGTTGTGAGGATTGTGCAAGACCAGGCAGTGTTTGGCTCTGCTGTGCAGTCATGGGCTCAGTGTGAGCAGTTGGGGCTGACTCACAGCATCTAACAACACTTACTTACAAAGGGAAGACAACACAGACCACAATGCTAAGGGTATTGCTAAGGGTATGGGTTTGTGTTTATCTCTGGTGACAGGGATTTAGTCGTTTGTTTGCCTTCTTTGTACATTTGTATATGATGCATCCTTTGTGAATGAGAAAGAGCTACCATTTTCTATCAAATTCTTTTCCCTTCTCCACTTCCAAGGGCTGGCATGATTTCTTCTGTTGTTGCCCTCTTGGTCCCTTGTCACCAAACCTTTCCTTCG